GTTCACTGTAATTCACGCTGGGCGTTGTATAATAAAAGACCATCAGATGGAGATAACCTATTTAGTGTAGAATATTTTATATCATCATATGAAAGCCCCTATTCATACCGGATTTGCGTATTATTTTTTGGAAGAAAAATAATACTTAATCGTTGTTTTTAATAAAAAGTTTGTTTATTTTGGTTCCCCGCGATGCGAAGAATAAAGTAAAGAAATCAGATCGAGATACTATATTAATAGAATGAACGTAGAATATTTTGTGTGATCATATGTAAGCCCAGATCCGTAATAAATCAACGTGTTATTTCGGGAAAAATAATTGTAAATCGTTGTTTTATACTAAAAGATTGTGTTCCTTGTGATCCCCATAATGCGTAGAAAAATATAAGACCATCACATCGACACAATATATTGATAGAATAAATGTAGAGTACTTTGAATGATCGTATGTATGCCAAGAATCGTATTGGAGGAACATCTACTTCGGGGAGGATAGATGACACTAAATCTTAAATTAAAAAAATTTGTTCATTTTGGTACCAGCCATACGTAGAAGTTTTTAAGATGTCCAGATAGAGATAATATATTGTTAGGATGAGTGTAGAATTATTTGAATGTTAATATGTAATCCCCGATTCTTATCGGAGGAGCGTATAATTTCGGGGAATACAAATAACACTAAATCGTCAATTTGTATTTAAACATTTGTTCATTTTAGTTTTACTCGCGATGCGGAATAATGTAAGACAATCAGACCAGGATAATATATTAATAGAGTGAGTGGAGAAAATTTTAAATGATTATATGTATGCCCAGGTCCGTCCCGGAGGAACTCAATTCGCGGCCGATAAGGAACACTAATTTGATGTTCTAAATTCAAAAATTTTATTAATTGTGATCCCCGCTATGCGTAGAAAAATAAGACTATCATGGTGTGTTAACCTATTGATAGTGTGAATGTAGAATATTTTGAATTATCGTATGAAATTCCCGATCCGTAAATAAACAGCGCATTATTTTGGGGACGACAAATGATACCAAATTGTTGTTTTATAATACAATATTGTGTTTGTCGCGATCCCCGCGATGCGTGGAACGATACAAGACAATCAGTGGGAAATAATCTATTGATAGAGTGAATGTGGAATATTTTGAGCGAACATATGTACACCTCGATCCATATCAGTGTAGCGTATAATTTTGGGGTCGATAAATAACACTTAATTGTATATAATAAAAATTTTGTTCATGGTGAACCCCGCGGTGCGCAGAATAATACAAGACCACCATAGGGATATAATCTACTGACAGAGTAAATGTAGAGTATTTTGAATAATCCTATATTAGACCAGATTCGTATCGGAATAGCGTATTATTTTGAGGCCGACAAATAATATCAGATCGTTATTATATATTAAAGAGATTTATGTGAACTCCGCGATGCGCAGTAAAATACAAATGCCTCCGAGGCATTTATATATTAAAAAATTGTGTTCATTGTCATGGCAGCGATGGGTAGAATAATATAAAGCCATCAGATGTTGTCCAAGTTCTTTATCATTCTAATAGTACCAAAGTATTCCTTTTTATATACAGTGACTGCTGTTACAGTCACGGTATGCAGACATTAAATATCGAAGCTATTGTAATTTTGTAAAAAGAAATGTTAGAATGACAAATTGTGAAAGGGTTCATCTTCAAGCTGAAATATTTTACTTTCGAAATAGATGGTTTATTTTATTGCAAGATATTTCTAAACCGTATGCAACGTATTCGCTTTACCTTATTAGGTAAAATCGAGACATTTCGCTTCTCAAGAATGGCATAAATTGTTGCAGTATGTAAAAATATTGAAAACTTTGTTTCAATATATAAACTGAATTTATCTAGCCTTCTTTTAATATCGTGCTTTGATAACTATCATAATCAGATTATTTATAGGAAATAGAAAAATTCTGTATCAATTTTGTACAATTTTGTACAATTTTGTAACTGCCAACTTTTATTTTTGCATTAGTTTTCAAGTCTACTTTTGTGCAGTCTACTTCTGTTCTGTCTTACAGTAAATCAGAGAAATGTTACTCGAAAAATAGATTACAACGCTTCACATATGTGCCTATGTATGAAAAATAATATACCACTTCACCAAGAAAAGTTTAAACTGTTAATGATCAGTGATTAGCACCCTCATTTACAAGAAATTTAGAACCTGTGAAAAGATATAAATCATTCAAATTTGGTTATTGCAAGACCACTGGTACCAATACATTATTGAACAAAATTATTAGATATCTTGCAAAATTATGACTAAAAAGGGTAAAAGATAATACAATTAAAGACAAATTGCAGTCGTGGAATTTTAATTAATATTTCAACAAATTCTTAATTTAAAGAGAAATAATACAATTTCAGTTGGACAAAATTGTAAGACATTAACAGAGAAAACAAAAGAAGTCTTCATAAGAAACTACATAAACATATCATGATCTATAGTAGTCTTCATAATAACTACATTAAACATATCACGATCAATTAAATGACCATTTTTAAAATTTCATTTAGAACTTCTTAGAACTTCTTCATATAACACCATTGTACCGCTATTTAACTTCAAGACGTTTCTGATAGTGTAGCTACACTAAATTATTCAATAATCACTTCCTTTTTTTTATTGTTTGTGTTCTGAGTATGTAATCAATTTCACCTATGACCAGTCATTTGAATGATTTATATTTTTCTGTTAGCATTTCAAGTTTGACAAACTAAAGAGGATCGAAATACTACAAAATTACATACATTTAGTATACTTCTATACGCACGCGGTAAGCTAAAAATTCAAATATAACGGATA